GTCTAGAGCGGCAAAGCTTTGAGGAATTGGATTTTTCATCGGTTTCACTCCATCCCCAAAATAACTACAATAATGAAAATCATTTTCGTACCTTGCTTGCAGGACAATTACACTACTTGTATGTAACTCTCTCTCTCCTTGTTTGTTCAGCTTCTTTAGGATTCTGCTCCTCCTGTTGATTTGATTTGATTTGATTATTGTTCTGGTTTTTCTATTTTTGTTTTTTATCCTTGCTGGCGTTTCTTTTTTTTTTTTTTGTTGAAAATTAGAATTCTTGACGAGATCACCAGTGATCCGGCAGTTGTGGATCCAGTAGAACCGGAGTAGGTTATCAATGCTGCCAAGCATCGTGGGGCGCAACTCAAGCTCGTTCTTACTACTCATCACCACCGGTACCCTCTTATATTATAACTCCTTCCTTTAATCCTATGCTCCTTTTTCTTTTTCTCTTGGACCCTCAAAGTTGGGTCTTCTTTGAGTTTGATTGATTGTTCAAGTTAGTTTTTAGTGGAGGCAATGCTCTTGCATTGACTTTGGAGATGGTGCTGTATAGAGTTTTGCGTGCATTCTTTTTTTTTTTTTTACTTGTCAATAGATCTTCAGAATACTTTTATCTCTCCCTCTCTTGATTGTACTGATCTTGTTGTATCTCTCTTCTGAATTGTTATTTTTGTCTGGAATGCACGTGCCTGACGAGCTTATCTTTTATGCACAGGGCTTCAGCCATATTTCCCCTAGATGGAAGTGTTGCTCTAGTTTATCTTGGTGTAAGAAGAAAGGAGTCTATACTTGATGGTGCATTTATCTGATATTGTTGTTAGTTGTTACTGTATGCTGTTGAAGGAAAATGGAGGTAATCACATTTCAATGGCTTTAGGATTCAGACCTTAATTGTTTATGCGTTTCTCAGGGAGACAAACCACAAAATCATATTGTTCTAGACTCATTAGAAATACCTCACCTTTAATCATACGATCGTGTTCTTATGCTGAAGTAATTCTAGTGTCTTGAGTACAATTTATAGGAAGATTGTGATAGACTTACTTCATGTCAGAAACCTATCTTGATCTGTGAAGAAATAAAGGAAGAAGAAGAAAAGGAAAGAAAAGAATTGAAGCACAACTTTTGCTGTAGAAAAAGAAATTCAATAATCATTCATGTTTTTCCCTGATACAAAAATCAAGCTAACGCCACCTTTTACAGCCGAAAAGTAATTCTTAGTATCGTGTGAATACAGTTTATAGTAACATTGTGATAAACTTATATCACCTGCTTGAGATGAAGAGGAGCTCCATTTTAAGTTACTGGATATAGGGTTTGTGTTATTTTAGTAGGTTTTAAAAGCTCATTCAAACTGCAGGTGCCCATGGAGGTGCTACTTCTTCCACTTTTCATGTTCCGACAGAGGTAATTGATGTTACATGTTTATTATCTACCCTTTCCCCATTTTCTTTTTGGGACTACGCTCATCCCATAGATTGGTTGTCAAACAAAGTATGCAAACTGAACAATTTGCTTCAACCCCTGATGCCCTAATTTTTCTCTTTATAATATTGTAGCCCAAATCAAAATCAAAATAACTGTAGAATTTAATTCAAAATTGTTAATAAGTTTGGGAATCTAATGTTAGAAGATAAAATATAAAAAAGTTTCTATGCAGATACATAACAATATACAGTTTATATATAGCAGTAGCAGTGATAGATCTGTCTATTTATTACTATTTAACCGTATATTTGTCGTAATTTATTTTTTCAACATTTCAGACGGGCTAATTTTATTTTATTAGAGTCTCATCTTCCCATAACTTAGTGATATGGTTGTTTCCTCGTTAGCTAACATGACCCTTGTTTATGTCCCAACTTTAGTAGCGAAATATTCGTCAATGACAATCTTTCAATTGATCCCAAATTGTTTCGATCTTTGTCGGATTGATAACATTTTTTGCACTTACGAGAACTTCTGTTGCGCGTATGAACGGAACGAGAAAGCCGAAGGGAAAAAACTAATTCTCGATTCATTAGAAAAACTTAAAATAACAAAAATTACAATGTTGCTCTTCGCGAGCAACAACTCATATCCCAAAACCCACGTGATAAATCGCATAACAAAATTTACGCACCTATGAAACTCTCATGTTGTTTGATTGATTTTTTTTATAAGCAATTAATATACGATAAAGATTTAATAATTGCAGATGACTGTAATTACACATGTTTCATTTCAAATTTCTGGGACCGTTACATTAATGATAACTGTTTTGTTTAAATCGATAGGATAGTTTAGTTTAGTTTTATATTTAGTTAAATTATCAATTTATTCATGTGTTATTATTATAATATTAAATGAAAAAGTATAAAAAAAATAAATTTTGAATTTAAAAATAAAATATATATTAATAAATAATTGTGAGATTAAAATTATCGAATTAATAGTTTGAAAAAATTTAAAAAATAAAAATTATTCCACCAATCGTACCATTTATTTGAAAGTGATGAAAATGTTATGTCTTGAAAGTAAAGCATTAGACTTTTTGACGTTAATGTGGAGGGTTTACACACAAGGGGAGAATTTCTTTCTTTTTAACTTTTTTTTTTTTTTTTTTTTTTTTTTTTTGTATCTTTCATTAGGATTATGCTTTAATGAAAAGAGAGGAGGACCCAGAAGAGCACTAATTTGATTTGACCGAGACAGCTGGTTGGGTTTGAATCAGAATTCACATGGGATTTAATATTTCATTGGATGCCCACCCGTGAATTTTATACGGACGGTGTTGGGATTTGATGTAAGTATATAAATCAAACCAAATGCTTGATGAGGAGATGGAAAGAAGAACACCAAGAATTACAAAAGAAGAAAGAGAGAGAGATGGACTTTGAGGAAATCTATCCGTTTTATTTGAAGTCCAGCGGTAGGGGACAGGACTGAATCAACAGCAAACAAACTAACAAATTTTAATAATGAAGGAAACAATTTCCATGGCCGTACTATATTGTACAAATCAAAGCATGTGACACAAAAATAAAGTAATTCAATAACGGTGGTGGGAGACAAAAGAGGGGAAAAGGAAAAGCGTCTGTAATTCCCCCTCAAGCACTGCTAATGGTGATTACAGTTTTTTTTTTTTATTATTATTATTATCTGGAGAGAAATGGGATTGCCCTCCATCTCCTGGTAGAGATTATGATAGATACAATATGTATAAATGGTTATTACCTCTCCCCTCCGACGGCGGTTTCCTGTGCCTGAGGAGATTTGTAAGAGGAGTAACGTGCTTCGAGATCAAACCAAGTATCAGCATCGATCAAATTGTTGAATTCTTTGAAAGTGGCCATGTGTTGAAGATACTCTCGGGTACTTCCCTTCTCCTTGAGAGCATTTAGAACGTTGACGAGTGCTCGGCTGGCTGCGTAGACGGTGGCAAGTGGGTGTTTCATCAGATGAAAACCCATGTCTCTCAGCTCTTCCGGCGTGTGTAAAGGTGTAATCCCACCTTCAATCATGTTAGCAACTCTGTATCCGTTTGTTCTTCGCCCGATTTCTTTTAACTCCTCGTCGTTTCTGGGTGCCTCGACGAAGCATCCGTCGGCTCCGGCCTCGATGTAAAGATTAGCCCTAGCAATCGCATCTTGTAGACCGTATTTTGCAGATGTCGAACGAGCATCGGTTCTGGCCACCAGGAAAAAATCTGCGTCGCCGATTGCCTCCCTCGCTGCCGCTATCTTTGCAGCATGGTCTTCTGCTACTATAACCTGACACGCCATTAATTACTTCTTTACTTTCCAAAACAGAATTTGATTCCCCCTAAAAAAGTAATAATAACAATGATTATTACCTGCTTGCCAGCCATGTGTCCTGAATGACGAAATTGAACACACAGAGAAAAACAAATGATTAGCGACTGTGACTAACAAAAGTAAATCAACTTTATGATTAAGAAAAACAAAGAAAGAGGTGTCGCCCATTTACCACACTTCTTAGGCCATGCTTGATCCTGAAAACCAGCAGGATTAAACAGGTGTTAAGATTAAATAAATTAAATCTTTTAGATTAAAACAATTATATTGTCTTCCAAAGTAGTAATCACCTCAAGGAAACAACCAGCAGCGCCTGCTGAAATCAAATCCTTCACAGTCCTGGTAACGTTGAGAGCATTGCCACCACCAGT